AATGAAACTTTCCTGTTTGCTATCACCGTCTGCTTTAACTCTGTCTGTTATTTTGATGTATTTGCAGTTCTGACTAGATCCAGATTTGGCATGTTTAAAATTATATTCAGTTGTAAAATGTGAGGCTAGGAGTTCTGAAGATAAGAAAGAAATCAAAATTTCTGCCATTGGAAACAATGTGAGCAATCAACAGTTCTTTGCAGGGAAGATAAAAAAGCTGGTTAGAATAGTCTTTGGATTCACAGTCTTGGGCATTTTGGAAAAATCACTAAATAGCATTTTTTTTTTCTGCCCATGTTTCCCTTCCAGTAAAATGCAGAGAGAAGCCCTTGTCCTTCATACGTGATAGGCTAAATGAGGATTTTTGAGGAAGAAAAGCACAAACTGAAACAAAGGAAAACCTTTGGGAGTGGTATATAGTCTTTATCCCCGCTGAAAACTACACATGTGATAGTTGTCAGTATCGCTTATGTCCATGGTGGCTTCATATTTTGATATATTAATGAATCCTTTCCCCCTGATCTTTCCTGGGAACATAGGTACACAAAGCCAAATTTAAGGTTCTTGAACCGGAAGAGCTTGGACTTTTGAGTTTCCAAAACGAAGCCTTGGAGGCTTTAGACACAATGTTTATGCTGTGAGTCTTCGCTGTGGGAGAACGCATGCTCCCTCCAACAAGATGGCTTCCTCCCATGAACCAGCAAAGCCAAAGGAGAGAGGGAGTCGGTGGATGTCAGAGCTCAGCAGCTAATACCAAACCTGGGAGAACGTTCTGGGGAGAGCGTGAAGTGTGGCCTCCTGGCGTGGGAGAGGGAGGGGCCAATGGCATCCCCTGCAGTCCTTCTGTTGACTGTGCGCATGCCTTCTTCTCATGTGTTCCGTGGCTGTCTCATCTTTAGCTTTGATCTCGCCCTCAAGTTGTGTTTCTGTGCTGTAACTTTATCGTGGGTGCAGTTCAAGTATAGGATAACCTCGAGCTCCAGAAAGGTTTCTGCTTGAATGTGAACCATATGACTCTCCAAGAGTTTCCCAAGAATGGCAACCTCGCCCTCCTCCGCCAGCCACTGCTACCCACTCTCAGATCCGCTCTTCGTCCTTCAGCAAGTACAATGCACCTCCGTTACGAGACATTTCAACGTGACGTGCTATGGACATACCATATTCATTTACTCCAACATTGTTGTTTTTCCTTATCTAAACTTAATATATTTTTCCATCTTTAGAGTGGTTTGGGTAACCTGGGTTGGGATGGAATGCTCATAATTTTCCCCAATAAAATTAATGGAAATACTTTTTATTTAACAGCTTTTTACTTAGCGGCAGGGCTTTTAGGAGTGAATTAGAGTGATTAGGTGCGGAATAGGTGCCACTGGGTGGGGGAAGGGAGACTCCAGTCCCTGTAATTACGTGATTGTGCTAACAAGCCCATGTATCTCCTGGAATTTCTTAGACAAAAGAAATATTTTTCAAGCAGAAGTAATGGCGGTGCAGCATCAGGGCTGGGATATTTGAAACAGAGCAGACATTTTTGGTGAAGAATGTTTCAGGAATCTGTTTTGTTGCTTGGGAGGCTCTAGAGGAACTCGACTGTTGGCACTGGTTCCCACTGGGCTACAGCCAGCAGGAGCGTGACTGTGGGGCGTGGTGACATAGATGGGGTGTTTCATTCATTTTACAATGGCCTTAGGTTTATACTGACCGAACATTAGCATCTATGGGGGAAGTGTACTGGCCTTTGAGCTGCATGACTTTGCTGGGGATCAGGCCATGGGTTTTTTTTGTTTTTTGTTTTTTCTTAAATGCTGCCTTTCCTTTCCATTTGGCTCCAAGATCATGCTAGTAAAGGGGCACATGGGGGAGCGGTATGTGATCAGGAGAGATGAGCACGCACGTAAGTAGGTATAGCAGTCAGTCGTCAAACACCAGCCTTGATTTCAGCAGGTTTTTGTGGGAAACGCTGGAGTAAAATGGTGCGATCAGGGATTTGAGTAGGGAAGGCACAGCTCCTGGATGTGCGGAAAACTCATCAGCGTTAAGAATATTCATACATCTCATCATGATTACATGTGGTTGCTACACTTTTATTGATTTCAGTATTTCAGTTCTATACATTAGGAACTAAACTGAAGAATGTGTGTGTGTGCACGTGGGGAAGGTAGGTCACATAGGAGGGGCTTAAAATGGAAAGAGGTACAGTGAGGCTGGGAGGCTACCTTAAAGCTGTCCTCGCATAGCTAACATATAGTTTTAATTAGGTGGTGTTCCAGATGTAGAGCGATCGCCATTCTGAAGGTACCTTTATCCATACTTTACAGTGGACTAAGAACGAAGGGGATCAAACACCAAAATCAAAGCTTTTAATTTTGAACCAAATGGCTTTATTAGCACATGACTAGGAGTCCAGGAGATTACACAGAGAGTTTTCTTTTTTGCATAGTTGAAGTGTGCTTTGGATCATTTTGAAATCTTGACTTCAGTCTATGCTGACCACTTCGGGGCAGACACCAAGGTCCCTAGCCTGTTCTTGAACTTAATTACCCCCTGGAAGCCTCCTCCTCATGGACCTGGAGGAAGACGAAGACTCTTCCTCTCCTGCCAGACGCTTTTGCCCTCTCCTTCAATCAAGCCTGGCAGTGTGCTGCAGGGGCCCTGAGGCCCAAGAAGGAACTCACCAACGATCCCAAGCTCCTCTTCGAGTGACAGCCCAAGCTGCTCATGGCCCCTGTCAGTGCTCAGCAGGGCCCACTCCCCCGTGCCCCCGAGTGCTGTTAACAGGACAGTGCTGGGTGAGGGGGAGTGAGAGGTAGGGCAGACTTGACACAAGGCTTGCTAACTGGATGCCTTTAAAACTCCTCATTGTTCTTTATGCCTCAGTATGTTTAGGGAGGAGTGTGTGGCTTGTCCACCTAGCAGAGCTCATGTTCAGAATTTTGAACATATTAAAAAGTCAAGCTGAGTTTGAAAACAACAAGCTCTAAGCTTTTGAGACTTGTGAGATAAAAAACAACTCCGGAAAGACCCTTTCTCAAAATATTTTCTTCTTTCATTTATTGTTTGGAAACAAAACCAACTGTAAAGTTGTAAGAAATGTATGACGACTCCAAAAATGCCCTTTACCTAGACTCATTATTTTGCCCATTTTGCATATTCTTTTTCTCTGTCTTTGGACATACACATGACTATTATCATCATTGTTCTTGTCGATGTTACCGGACCCTTTATGTATACCTTGCTGACATCATGACCCTTTCCCCTCAAATTCCCACCCTGGATCTTTTATGAACAAGGACATTCCCTTGCCAGAATGTTATTAATTTTTTTTTTTTGGTAGACTAAGAGAAGGAAGGGTCTGTTGAAGCCTTTATAACCAAAGTGTGGGCCGGTCCAAAGGGCTGACTGTGGGGGCTCTGTGCAGGCTCCCACTAAAGGCAGGGAGAGAAGAGAGGAGGCACCACCGCAGGGCTGGAGAACTTTATTGTTGCCATAAAACATATTTTTTCCATGTTCTCTTTAGACACATGAAATGAAGGCTGCATTCCCAAGATCTGGCTTGTGGCTTTAAAATAAAAAAAATATTTTTACAGTATTCTTTTTGGAGGGATGAAAGCATGTGTTTTATTAACATTTCCCAAACTCTTTTTTTAGGTTTTAGGCTGACAGCATCCAGCCTGTGGACTGCAGCAGTCGAAATACGTGCATTTTTAGAAATTACACCTTTCAGTTAACCGAAGGGGAAAACTTTCTTCTGTGAATCCTCTCTGATAGAGAACTCGAAAATCCCTGCGTATGATTAGCCCAGTAGGGTAACACGCAGGTGATCCGGCTTATCTCACCTAAGGTGCCAATGAACTTTGCAAGCAGTTTTCCGGGGCTTTCGCTCATTGGTGGTTTGGGCCTCATTCATGATACTCTTTAGACACCTGGCCCAGCGCAGGCGGCCAAGAGTTGCCTGGGAAGAGGCATCAACAGCACCCCGGCTACTCTGGGAAGCGCGCAAGCCTCGTCACCTCCCACCCCAGCTGTCTCACCAGCTTACGGGGCCCCGGGCTCTCAGAGGGGCAGCCCAGTTTTTCTTGCTAAGAACCCAAAGGACTTGCTCAGAGCTGGAATTCGGCGAGGCACCTTGCTTCAACACGCCAAATCTGCCGCACCCCCAATACCCCACCCTCCTGCCTCTGCGCTTGCTACCCACACCCCCAACCCCAATTTGAGGGCTCCCCGCCCCCACTACGCTGAGAGTCTCAATCCTAACCCCTTGGACGCGAGTGCCTTTGCGTCGGAGCGCGCCGGGCGCGGCGAGGCCACCAGTGACTCCCAGCGGCCGCACAGGGCGCTGCGCCCCCTTCGCCCCGGCCTCCCTCCGCCCTGCGTCCGCCCCGCCGCCCCCGCGCCGCCTCCTGAGCTGGGCTGGAGGCGGATTCCTCTCTCCGGGTTTTCAAAGCGCCTTTCCGAAACCTCCTCCCCGCCCAGAGAGGGAGTGAGATCCCGGGCGCAGTCGCTCCCCGGAGCGGCCGAGGGGCGCGCGGGGAGAGGCCTGCGCCGGGGTACTTTCAAACTGAGGCGCGCGCACACACTCACACGGAGACAGACACACACACACGCACGTACACACACACACATATACACGCCCATTTATATAGGCGGTGGCGGCGGCAGCGGCCGGGGCGGCGGCGGCGAGGCAGGAATGATGGAGCTGAGCCAGCCGACCCGGGTTGGAAGCAAGTGAGGAGAGCCCAGGCGCACCCCGGGATTTCTGTGCCCCGCTCTTGTCATCCTACCCAGGGAACGGTGCGCCCGGAGGAGGACCAGGTGGACTGATTTGCTAGAGGGGCGGGGAAGAAGAGGAGACCAGGTGAGCGGAGGAGCCCCCGCGTCTCCGGACCGCCCGGTGGAGCCTTTGCCCGACTCCTGCTCCCTCTCCGCCCAGGTGGGCGCGCCCGGTTCCCCGCTCGCAAGGGGCGCTTTGAGGAGACCAGAAAGTCGCGGCCCGGCTTCGCGGGATGCCTTTCGCTAAGAGGATCGTGGAGCCGCAGTGGCTGTGCCGGCAGCGGCGCCCGGCGCTCGGCCCGGCGGAGGACGCTAACGGAGGCAGCGCGGAGCCGCCGCCGCCCCTGCAGCCGCCCGGCCGACGGGACGAGGCCGTGGCGCCGGGGCCGGAGGATCCTGCCCGCGCGCCCCCCGCGCCTCCCGGGCCGCCGCCGCCGCCGCTGCCCGCGCCGACCGACCAGGCGCAGCCGCCGCACGGAGAGGCGCCAGCGGCGGGCGAGGAGAGCGCGGCGGGGGTCGCCGAGGCGGCGACCGCGGCTGGAGAAGCGTCCACGGCGGCGGCCGCGGCCGTGCTGCTCATGCTGGACTTGTGCGCGGTCAGCAACGCCGCGCTGGCCCGCGTCCTCCGGCAGCTCTCGGACGTGGCCCGGCACGCGTGCAGCCTCTTCCAGGAGCTCGAGAGCGACATCCAGCTGACCCACCGCCGCGTCTGGGCGCTGCAGGGCAAGCTCGGCGGCGTGCAGCGCGTCCTCGGCACGCTGGACCCCAAGCAGGAGGCAGTGCGTGAGTACCCGCGCCGTCCGCCCGCCCGGCGCTCCGGCGCCGCGCCCTCGCGCCCTCCCCGGTCGCCGCAATCCCACCCCGCGGCGCCGCGCCCGCTGCAGCCTGCACCTCACTCTCGCCGCCGCCCCCCCTTCCCCTGGGACCCACCCCAGTCCTCCCGGAGCTGGGAGTTCCCGCTGGGCTGGCGGCGGAGATGCGGCCGCGGCGGGGGGCGGGGAGGGGTAGAAAGTTAAAGGGGCGGCCTGGGAACTCGTGGGCAGCTGCGGGCTGAGAAGGAGAGGGTTGGGGACACAGGAGGCAGAGGGGACTGTCATTCATTCCCGGGACTCGCCTTCCCCGGGGGTGGGGGTGGGGGGTTGGTGCAACTCCTGTGGTTTCCAGCAGCCCAGCCCCGAGCCCTGTAGTGCCCTCCATGCGTGCTTGGGGGGGCTCGAGGAGTAGTGAGCGTCCTTTTTGGGCTATTGGAACGTCGTAGCGGTTTTGTCACTCTCGCGGTTACCTCAGGGTCTGCGCCGAGCCCCGAACTTGCGCCTTGCGCTTGCGTAGCGCGGCGCGGCTCGCGGAGCGAGTGAACTCGGAAGCCTCTGCTCTAACCTTGTGGCCCGGCGGGGCCGCGGGGATGGGCGTGGAGGCAGGAGTGTCCCAGGCCCGGGGCATCTTTTCCTGCGCCCGCCGGCACTGGAGCCCTACTAAATGGCTCTCCGAGCCGTCCGCCTTCTGAGGATCGGGGAGGCGTGTCCCCGTCCCCCCGCCCCCACCGTGTGCTGTCGCCCCAATCTCCCCGCGTGTGGAAGACCCTTGGGCATCTTTGCTGCCCTTTAACTTCACTCTGGCGACACCCTAGGGCTCCCAGTCAATGTCATTCTGTGTCATCTGCCCTCCCAGGGGCGCTCAGCAGGGTCCCTTGGCGCACGCTCGGTCGAATCAGGCGGCGGCCGCATCCTTTAGGAACGAACCGACGGTGGGCGGGGGCGCTAGGCCGGCGCGCCGGTCCTTTGGCGCCTAGTCCGGCTGCGACGCTCGCGGCGAAGGTGATGTCAGCGGCTCTGACTTACATAAGAAGCTTCCTCGGGTGCTGCAGCAGCTGCGCCCGAGCGCGGTGGCCGCGGAGCGCGCGAGGCGGGGGCGCTGTCGCGGCATCCTTCCTCGGGGATTTCCGGGCACCTCTGCCCTGTGACCCAGCCCCAGCCTCCTCCCCGACGCCCCCCACTCGCGGACCTCCCCCCCCAACAAAGACCCCTTTGCACTGCGCCCCGGGAATCCGCTGCTTTTCTGCAGTATCGATAATAATAAGCGTAATGAATAAATGATGTGCGCGATCGGTTTTCGCAGCTATAAAAGACCCAGAGTTGGGTTAATGACTGGTTGTTTAAAAGGGCAATTCCGGGATGAGTTCTGGAAAGAATTAGGACTGCCGTAGGCCAAGTTGTATTTTACTTTTGGGACTTGAAATGAGCGCTTTAATCCTGCCTCCTTAAAAACAAAAAAAGAAAAAAGAAACCCGAACGACACAGCAGGGACAAGCCCTTCACTTTCTACAGCGCTGATATCTGGGGAGTGCGTTTGGGGTGAGTGGTAACTTCAGAAGAACTGGAGGGAAGTTTTGCGGACCGTTGAGTGGTGCATACATTTCTGTGCGTGTGTGTGGGGGGCACATCACTCCTTAAATTAGATCTCACACAAGTGAACCCCCGTGCTGGAAGGGAAAGTGCTCCTTTCTCCCCTCTTGCTTTAGAGAGAGCAGAGGGCCCTCACGTATCTGGCATTTAACACAGCCCTTTAAGGCCCTTTTACAAGAGTGCAGACTAATGATTGAGGGAGAAAAGCGAGGATTTTTGATGGCTATATACTCTTTATACGTATTTATACATGAATAGATAAATAAAGATGGGGCTAATTAATACCCAGGGATGAACTTAAAATCTCTTATTTTTGAATTTTTCTAAACTATTATCTCCACACTTTGTGTCCAGACCTTTCTCTTGTCCATATAAATTTTGGATGGCACCCAAAAAACCCCCAAACTAGAAGTCATCCATAATTATTTTTTTCCAATGATACCTTATACCCAATCCGATTAATAAATCCTGTCAATTCAGAGTCCTACCACTTTTCAAAGTCCTATAGATACCTCCCTAGTCCTGACCACCATTACCAGTCACACCGTCTAACTGGTCTACCAGCCTCCAGCCTTGCCTCCGGAGTGATTTCACTGAAGTGTATGTCGGATCATGTCACCCCTGCAAAAGTCATGCAGACTACGAAGGGACGATGGCCGGTGTGGGAAGGCTATCCAGGGAGTATAGAGGCACCCAGATACCTTCAAATGAGGAGAAAAGGGAGTGTGAGTCACTTCTAGGTTTCCTCTCCCTTTGAAACTCCCTTAGGCTTTGGCCAGTGCTAAAGGGAGACGTATAATGTAGTAGATGCCACTGGTAGTCCACCCATAGCCCCTCTGAATTGACAGGATTTATTAATTGGATTGGGTATAAGGTATCATTGGAAAAAAATAATTATGGATGGCTTCTAGTTTTGGGTTGTTTTTTTTTTTTTTGGTCTTAAGATGGTACTATTTCCAGAAATGGGTAAGGCTAGTGGAAGAATGGATATTTTATTGGGTGTGTGCGCACACGCATGCACGTGACATCAGTAGTTTTGTATTTTTGCCATATCAACTTGAGATGCCTTATGTGTCTTAGACAGTTAGATGTGTGAGTTCTGAGCTCAAGAGAGAGACCCAGACTGGAGATGTGAGTGTGAGACATAGGGGTAGAGATGGCTGAGGGCTGCTGAGCTGGTGGTGGGGGGTGCTCTTACACAATTACATTGATTTTTCTCAGTGCGTGCATAGGGAGGTCCTCAGCTGAGATGGTGTTGGTAATGTGAGGAGAGCAGGCTGGGTGTTAATGTTGTCTCAGGGAGGGAACCTGGATGCAGTAAGGAAGTGCAGCGGGATTACCTGGCTGTGTTGAGAGCCCTCTGAGATTTATGGTCATAAACTTGAAGTACGTCCAGCTTTTCAGTCACTAAAACCTGAGACTTTGGAATTACTTCACGAGCCTCGACCCCAAGCCATTCATCCTTAGACATTTTAATGTCGTTGGCTTTTTGGTTGCCGTTGCTTGTATTTGTCACTGAGTTTTAAAGGAAGTTTTGTAATAAACTTTAACATTCCTACAGAAAAGTGCAGAGACCATAAATGTACAACTCTTGTAACCATTATCCAGCCTTAGAAAAAAAGCACTACTTTTTCCTGAAACCTCTTCCACAGGCCTTTAACCCCCCCCCCCCCACCAAAGGTAACCACTATTCTGACTTCTACCCCCCTCAATGAGATTGTCTTGGTTTTGAACTTTATGTAAGTGGAGTCACATCCTATCTGCTTGTTGGGTTAACAGTGCTAGATACAAGATTACATAACATTCTTCCAATTTGTTGCACAGATGGCAGATTGCTCATTCTCATTGCTGAAGAGAATTGTGCATCATGTGTGTACTCCACAATTCATTGATCTGTTCTCCTGATGATGGACATTTGGGTTGTTTCCAGTTTAGGACTATTGCATTTTTTCACATGTGTTTTGATGAGCTAATGTTGCCACAGCTGTTTGGTATATATTTAAGTGTAGAATTGCTGGTGCACAGGGGATGGGTATTGGCTTTAGTAGTTACCACCTGCCAGTTTTCTAAACTGGTTGTACCAGTTTATACTCCTCGAAGTTCCAGTTGCTCCGCATCCTCACCAACACTGATACTGTCTTTTTAACTAAAGCTACCCTGGTGGGTAGGTAATAAAGTTCTTGTTTTAGTTTTAATTTGCATTTTTCTGATAGCTTGTGAGATTGAACACTTTTTCATATATATTTTTGGCTCTTTGGATATGCTGTTTTGTTAACTGCCTGTTCATGGCCTTTGCTCATTTTTCGGTAAGTTTTTTTGGTACCTTTTAAAATTGAAGGTGTTCTTTATATACTGTGGATATGCTTCATGTGTGAGCTCTAGATACTGCAAATACCTTCCCTAACTCCGTGGCTTGCCTTTTTACTCTCTTAGTGTTATCTTTTTTTTTTTTTTTAAGATTTTATTTATTCATTTGACAGACAGAGATCACAAGGAGGCAGAGAGGCAGGCAGAGAGAGAGCAGGAAGCAGGCTCCCCACTGAGCACAGAGCCCGATGTGGGGGATACGGGGCTCGATCTCAGGATCCCAAGATCATGACCTGAGCCAACGGCAGAGGCTCTATCCCACTGAGCCACTCAGGCGCCCCTCTTAGTGTTATCTTTTGGTGAGTAAACGTTCTTATTTTTACATAGTTAGGTTTATCAATCTTTTTCTTTATGGTTAGCGTTTCTGTGTTCTGTTTTGTTTGCTCGTCAATGAATTCCTCACTGACCCCAAGTTCATAAAGATATTCTTCCATGTTCTAGACATTTTTTTTTGTTTTGCCTTTGTCATTTACATCCACAAGTCATATGGCATTGATATTTGCAAGTGATGTGAGGTAGGGGGTCAAGATTAGTTTTCTCCTTATTGATGTGCAATTAATCCATTGCCACTTAACGAAAAGAACTTTTCTTCATTGCACTGCAGTGAACTTTTATCCTCTACTGAGTGGATTGATTTTATTTTTGAGCTGATATTTATTGAGTTCTATATGTTGGGCTTTATGCTAAGGCATTTATATGAATTACCTTATTTTCACAATAACTCTGTGAGAGAGGTACTGTTATTTTCCCACTTTACTAAAGGTTAGCAACTTGCTCCAGGTAGCAACAGCTAGAAAGTGCTGGAGCCTAGAATTAGGACCCAGGTCTGAGTTCACAAGCTGTGTTTCAAGTACTAGACTTTTCTCCCATGTACCACTACACAAATCCAGGGGAATTACTATATTAAAGTCAAGGCCCTTCTCAATATGCCTCTGTCTCTGTGCCAAGCTCCATCTCCTGCTCTTCTCCCCAGTGTCCCTCTCTGCCTTCTCCATCTATTACCCTAATCCAGCC